ATAGGCTGCGGTCTGTTATCAACTCAGGTGTCATTTACATAATGTTAAATGTGGGTTTTCAAGAGTCCCTGCAACTCAATAAATCTCACTGGATGAAGGCCTTTTCTTACCATCTATTTTCACTTCAAATTACAGAAACTTTAAATTAAGACAGAGTTAGCTCTATTTCAATCTTCTTCACAGGTAAAAAAAAATACTTTCTTCTTTCACAGAAAAGTGGAAAAGGAAGGGCTTTAAAAAGAAAAACTCTAAATCATATTACTGACAACATTTCTAATAAATGTTTACAGCAATCCATAACATGAATCCATAACAACCACATTTGCACTGGTTCTAAAGCATGAATTTGGAATTAATCAATTTGTAATACTGCAGCCATGGATTTCCCACAGTATCCATACAAATTTTGTGCAGATATTCTTTGTTCATCTTAATAAAACATTAGTAACAGGTAAATCTCAATAAGGAAGAATATTATCAAAAGCAAAAGTAATTTAGTAAATCAATTCAAAATGTGAAACTTATTTTATCACATTAAATGATTTGATTATGGCTGAAAGGTTCAGATACAGTTTCTTGGAAAATTTAAATATAACTGATTACTCCTCCTTAGAACCACCTCTTGATGAGGTAATTCATTAAAAAGAGGTCCTGACTAAGTATATAATGCATGGATATTCTTTTCAGAAGGTTGAAATTAAAATTTTTATAACTGTTTTTTTTTTTTTTTATCTTATGTCATATTCAGATATTCTGATTAACTGATTTTGGGGTTTTATGACCTACAAGTGATAATCATCAAAAGAAACAGAAACAAATTATTTAAATATTGTTTGCAAATGTGTAATAGATTTTACTTTGTCTAATTTGCACTGCTGGTATCATTTCTCATTACAGTCTCTCCCCTGGGTGAAGGCAATTAAAACAAAATTTAAGCTGATACATGTGGAGGGGGACGCTGTTTGAAATTAGGAACTGATTTACAGGATTTTACCAGTTGAAATCAAAAGAGTCAACATTATGAATTACGAACACAAAGACAAATATTTTCTGCCTGCTTCTCAAAAAGACATTGCTAATGTTCATAGGCCTGAAAACTTTGAGAAATGCCACTACATAGTTTAAAAACAAGAATCAAGTGCATAGCAATTATTTTGTCACAAAGCAACAGACCCGTCAGTATTTCTATTAATGCCAGAGCTATCGCTCTGGCAACTCAGAATAATTTGTCTTGCATTCTGTGTGGATAAATAATCTTTTTTGTGAACCAACTAGGCAAAATATAATTCCAGATTCACCAAAAATTAAGTGGGTGATGGAGAACTAAGTTATCTTGTCGTTTTGTTTTTAAATTGGGAATGACAAACGCAGCTAATATCCGCTAAACTGATATTGCTTGCCTGACAAAAACCACAAAAGACAGAAAGGTGGCTAATAGCATTTGAAATGCAGGGTGCCAGTTTCCCCTTGGCCTCTCATCCATTATGATGGAAAACATTTCGAAAGCTTTGTTTCCCAGCTGAACCAGGAATTAATGGAATTCTTCCACCGTTTATTCAAGGTCAAAGCTCATCACTCTCACAGTCCTTTGCATTGTAAATCCATCCCTCAACACATCTGTGAGAAGAATTTGAATAATAAAAAAAATTTATGTTTATTAGTATACTTCCAGTGAATATTAAATCTGCTGTTATATAGGACAACATGAGAATATGAAAGGATACTCTTCCTTGAAAAAGTATTTCTTCCCCTAAAACTTTTCAAAATTTGTTACAATCTCAAAATTGAGATTGAGATTTCATACAACAGATCAACACAAACTAACTCACAACTGTGACAAAGAATACTACATTTTTCATGTTTTTACAAATAATATCTGCATGAATGTTTTACTCTGACTCTACTCTGAAACCTCTAAAAATAATCCAAAACAGCATGCAATATATATTGATGGCTAAGTTTATTTATCTTATGTGCAGTGCTGCTCTACTGTATGGATGAAACCCACAACCTCCCCTTCCTTCCTAATTAGCTTTAAAACTTGATTGGTCTTGCGCTTACCAGCATATGTAATATATTTTGATCACATATGCATCAGAGTTTTTAAAATGTTCTCCCTCCATATGTGACTTTGGAAATCTTGCTACACACGTTTATTTTGATTGTGCTTAACCACAATTCCTTGCCTTTTCTCTATGCGCCCTGCATTTGGTTCACATGAAGTGGAACAAGACCTATGATTTCAGTCTCAAGTCTGCACCAAAGTTCAAGCATAATGACACCTTCCCAAAAGAATCAAACTTTCAGACCTAATGGACTAGACCTCTACAGAACAAGACTGTGAGAATGCACCCTACATGTGCAAAACTGGTAGGATATACTCCAAAAAATTTAAAAAATTTAAAAAAATCCCACGGTTGTAAATGTGGAACAAAAATTTGTTGCTAAGTTTATGTCAGGGGCTGAATAAAATGCACACTACACTTTTCAGATTTGTATTTGTCACACACAACATTCCTCTTCCACTTAGCAATTATGCTCAACTTTATGTTGATTGATTACATGAACTCCTTCATCACATGAAATAAAGACATTGGAAATTCAACTTGGGAGAAGCAATGTGTGCTAAGATAATTAAGAATGAAAACTTTTTAATTTCTTAAAATTTATTTAATAAATGGGACTTATAAACACCCAAAATAAATAATTAACATTTTTTTTAATAATTCTTATGAACCGAACACAATTTTTGAATCTCGTCAAGAACTGTTGATTTCCTAATGAGCAAGCAGCACATGCTTGCAGTTAGTTGTTTGAGATTATCATCAGACAGTATGATAAATAGATAGTCTTCTAAATGGGTGTATAATCTACCCGATTCCTGACAAACACATCTCTGCCCACTGAGCACATATGACATTTATGGTTTTCCACTGCACTCCACCCAAAGAATTTGCCACAATGATTACTGAGTACCAACAAGAATGTTCAAGTTTGATGCCTGGCTGAATTTTACATTTCTGCACTGAGATATCTACTGAAAAACAACAAGAAAGTTGACACACAGGAAGACTTATTTCACAAACTTTTTTTTTCCACCACCAGCTCAGCTGACACTTTGTGTTAAGCAATTATCCTTCCATGAATAATTCCTGTTTGTCTCGACACTCCTGAGTGCTGCTTGGAAACAAACATGCTAATGAAGGCCTATCCGATTTGCAACATTTGTGACACAAATTAAAAAGACATAAAAATCAAAAAGCAGGATTAAATTAATATCTCAGAAGAGAAGTGCCTTGATCAACTCAGCAGATTGTAGTCAGTCACTTATAAAATAGCTTTCTCAGAAGACTTCTTTCACGGTTGATTAAAGATGCAACACAGTAATGCAATCACATTTTTAAGTGGAATCAACTCATTTGAGAGACAAAAATAAAGTTAGATGTTGATTTCTCAAGTTTGGACTTCAAAAGATAAGACAGACAAGCATAATAAAAACAACAACAAAAAACTGAAGTCGCAGCACATCTAATATGCAAGTTTACTACTTCACCACAAACCTAAGGTACAACAGTCAATTGAAATCTAATGACTGAATCATTATTAGAGTATAGTGTTCTCTAGTGTCATTGTCATTTTTGATAAACTAGTTAGAATTATTTGAGCTTATTTGAATATCATGGTACAATATCCTTATGAAAAAAATTTATGTAACTGTGGTCACAAAAGAATTGACATGGTGAACAATAAATCATGCTCAATTATTATAAAGGGGGTTCAGCCTGAAAATCCCAGGACACTAGCAGTTTCTCAAACCAGCCTGTCTGTCATCAACAACCATGTTCACAAACACACAGTAATATATTTATCAATTTGCAATTGTTTCAATAAAATAACGTACTGACAACCTGCATTGATCAGCCTAATTGTTAAGCCACTGCTAAAATAAAATTCACTGATCTCCTTAGAATGAAATATATTGAAAATTATGAGTCATGCCATTTTTAGTTTAGTTCAGAAGTTACACCAATCTAAAAAAGTTGCATATCAACCAGAAACCCTGTATACTGATGACAGTCCTTACTAGAAACAGATTCGTGTACCAGGAAAACATGGGCAAGTCTGTCTCAAAAAAGCAGAAACTATCACAAAAAGTCACATTTATGAAGGTCTAACCTGATTGTCAGCGATACCCAGCAGTTCTCACATTGACTCACTAAAAGGCCTTTGCTACTTTGACCATAATATTAGACAGGTAATATAGGAGTTGTTGCCTCACTCTTACAGATCTATACCATAGTAATGTTGTACAGTGAATGAAGAGCTCAACTGGACAGACAGTGAGGACTAATGCTTGATAAACATTCAGCACTATAGCACCTTTTCTTATCATTGCTGGAATAAAATATAACCAGAGAAATAAGCTGTTACTCCTATGTAGTTACAACTGAAAACCATTTCAAAGTAGTGACGCATAATGTCTAGTAGATCAGATAGGATTAGGATGACAAATTTCTTGCTCCACAAGTTTATGAGGAAATTACAAAATTTCAATGATGCTCAAATTACCTCTCTAACATGAGTGGAAAACCTTTGGGCAAAAAGTTTTTTTTTTGAATTGCAGTCACAAGTTACAAAACATATGAAAAATGCTTCTGTCATTCAGAGAGCTGTCTTCACAGATCACTAAGAAAACAAAGGTGCGTGCCTTGGACACACATATTTATCTCAAACGTTTGCAGCACTTGTTCATTGCATGGCTAAGAGATGCAAGCCAACACTTGCAAGAAAGCTTTACAAGTCATTCACAAAAACTTAATTACTATATCCTCCATCTTAGAGCAGAAAATTACTGCAGTGAGGCAACTTTTGAAAACAAACTGCACAGTTGAAACTGGAACCCAATCTAAACATCTCCAAAAATAAAAAAGTGACCAACTCTCAACTCTGACAATAAATAAATAAAAAGAGACAGTACAAATTGTAAGCTGGTGACTTACTGTGGTGAAATTTACAGCGAAGCATTCCTCTCCCCGAAAGGTGCACTGCAGAAGCATGTCACTGATGTCATGCCCTGTTCGGTTATAGAAATCTGTCATATTGAAGAGCTTGGGCTTGAAGTTCTGGAAGTTCGCCTTTTCCTTTAGCACAGCCAGAACCTCAGCTTCAGCCAAATGTGGGTTGGCGATCTGGTGATTATTGTTAAGAAGGGCCAGGAGCTCTCCAACATGATAAAGGTCATTTTTAGTGATTTTGGAGAAACGAAATTCATTGAGGTTGCAGAAGGTGACAGCAGGAAAGGTGAGGTTTGTGGCTGCCACTTCGTCCAATTTGGTGACATGAGGATACTCCAGGTAATACGACACCCGATCCATGCAGACCAGCATCAGTAAGCTTAATGAGCCCAAGAAAGAAATAGTCCAAAGAAATCGACGAAATGTCATATGTCCATAGGCAAATATGTGACTCATGCCATGGAGGGTGGATATGTTGGCAAATGCTTGCAGGTTCGAGGGCCTGACACTTTCAATGCTTTCTTGTGAGCTTCCTTTCATGGCTGTAAAGTGATGCTCAGTACTCTCAACGAACTTCAGGTTAGAGACTTCGCTTAGCAACAGGAAAAGCAAAATGTAACCATTGATGTTTGGCACACCGTCTCTTTTTTTTCTTCCAAGAAGGAGAAATATTTTCAGTAAATAGCTACCTTAAAATGGTTGTCAGACTCTGTAACACTTTTCTTTTCATCGTGCGTCGCATGCCATTGGTTTGTCAGCTGTTCCTGGAGTGCCAGGTTCCCCCTTTTCGTTCAGTTTGCCGTTTTATTATCTCCAAAGCTGTCTCTCACTCTCCACGCTCAGCTGTCCTTTGCAGAGGCACCAATAACAATGACAGAAACACCCACTTCTAAAAAAAAACGCAATGTCTCCTGATTCCTGAGTCGAGTCAAAAGAAAGGGACAAGGAAAGAGAACAGAAAACAGCAGACAGAAGGATATAGGCAATGAGAGGGGGAATGAGATGAAAAGGACTAGCGTTTAAAGAGGGGCGCTAAGCCTCAGCAGTCAATGGGACCCTTCCTCCTCCAATCGGAGAGAATGCCTCTACATCGCATTGATAATAGGCTGCAATGGTTTTCTGAATGAGAGTAATAAAGAGAGAAATGGCTCACTGGTCCCTCGCTGTCACCTTCCTTTTTCTCTGGTGTCTCTTAGCGCTTCTCTTTTCTTCCAAGAAATGAAAATGAGGGGGTCAGAGACCTCCGACCAGCCCACCACCGTGCCTGACACACCGGCGTTCACTGATTCCACGGGTTCCACTTCCTTTTTTGCACAGATCCACAGTTAAGAAAGAAGACCACCTCTTGAGGTTTTATAAGCACCCCCCGAGCAGCATCAGCACTAAAGCCACCTCAAGACCCCCGAGCTTTAGTCCTGTTAACATACAGATTTATATTCTGCCGTGCGGAGCCTTTCACTCCGTTTCTCGCCTCCTTTCTCTCTCCCACCACTCCCCCATTTCTTGCTCTCTCTCTCTCTCACCTTCACTGTTGGTCTACATCTCTCTACCTCTCTCTCCCTCTTCCTCTTTAGTAGTCAGGATCCATCCCACTGCTGAATAGCTGTTTTGCTTGAGTCTGTTCAAAGGGGGGGGGAGTCTTTCACTCTGGACACCACATTGTGTTCTTTTATTATTCGCTAATCATGTCCGTCAACAAGATTGCTCCTCAACAAAGCCACATGTTGATTATTTTATGGAATTTGATAGCATAAAACAGATGTTATCAAAGAAATTATGCATGTTTCAACATCTTTGAGAGTAAAATAAGCAATTTTTTTTCTAGAAAACATGGATAAACATTTTTTTGTATTTACTTGATCATATAGCAACATATTTTTATATTTGTTTTCCAAGTGTAATAAACAAAAAGGCTTTATGCTTGGCTTAATCTCTCTTGGGATGTGGTGTGTGCTTAGAGAGTCTTGGTCACTAATGGATTTTATAGAGGTTAAAAGTTCAAAACAGTGTTCTGAAAAAGCATTTAATTTGTCCAAAGGCCAAACAAGATTATCATTCAATGGCTTCCCAGGGGTTACTTTTAAATGTAACAATGGGTGTGTGTTTTCAAAGATATGACTTCAGCATTTGAAGATCAATATCTTAGCTTAATAACTACACAAGAAAACCACTTTAACCCCAACCAATATCTCCATAGCCTGAGAGCCATGAAAGAACTTTAATCTGCAAACCAATGAAGGTAGTGACAGGCATACATGGTCATAAATCAGATGCCATTTAGAAACATAAAGCCTGCGGATAATACTCTGGTTTTCAACACTTTACTAACTGAAATAAATGTAATCACATTATTATTTTTGCTTAGGTCATGTTGCTTTCATAAAATCTTCCTACTCTTTGCTCTTGGATAAGCTCAAGAGTTCAGCCTGGAGGGTGCCTGATTCATACAGAACATGAAGAAACAAGTCATAATAATAATTATATAGCAAAAAATATGGAGTTTTCTGAATACCATGCAAAATTGTCACAGTGGGAAAAGAGAGAGGAGTCGTGATGCCTAAAATAGGATATTCAGATATAGTTTCTTTAATTTTCACCTCAAATGCTGTCTACCTTTTGATGTCAAGATGAATAGATTCATGGATAAAATGTCACTATGTGGATGCATTAGTTCTTAAATATTTGAATTACTATAAACAATCCAATTAAATACAACATTAAAGTTAAGTTTGCAAATGAATGAAACAATTTAATAGAGATTTTAAAAAATATATTTATACCTATAATGCATATAGGAGAAAATTATTCTCCTATATGTAGGGTCTTTTAATATAAAGTAATTGTAGTTATGAACAATAAAATAAGCAAAATACACTCACACATAAATTGTTCCTTTTAGTTCATAGAGTCTGTGGCTTGGCTCAGGACTTCAGCATGAGAGCCAAAATGAATGCCCAGTTGTCTTTTATTGAACCAAAGATCATTTTCAACACAGAATTAAATCCAATAGAGATTAAGGATGTCCATTCCTTCCACATTAATTAATTTATAGGGAACAAAACTGGGCACACAAGGGCAAAGACCTCTGACCTCAGATGCACTATTGAAAGTAGGGAATTCAACAATGGAGTGAATTCAATCTATACTAAATCACCCTTCAATGTGTCTTTTAATTTAGATAATGTGAAGAGGTTTTATTCGTATTAAATGATGTTCCTTTATGTGTCATATAAATGTAATGTTTTTTGAATCACAGTCAAGGTGTTTTTCTGTGCAGCTGGAAACGGTGTACAAACTAATGAACCAAGATGTGTCTACTGAAGTAAGTTTCCAGGGTTGCTGAACTTCCTCAGACAGTTATTTGGGAAACTGGCTGTTTTTCCCGTGGCCTTCCCTGCATGGAGACAGAGTTTAGTTTTCACATCCCGTAAACACTACAGTGAATGAGCATACAAGGTTTCGTATGTTTTCCTTGTTTCTTTTGTTTGGTCTTCGAAGATCGAGTCTCCGCCTCGGTAGTAAAGAGAGATGAATAAAGTAACTATGCAACTCTGGGTTCCTCAGAGCGGATCCTAATTTGTGCCTAATGCAGTATATTTCTTGCTCTCCGTCTGCAGACGTATTAAAGATTGTTTTTGCTCCCTAACTTTTGTCTGGATCTCAGTCTCTGAATTGTGCACTTCACAATAATATAAATTGAGATTTGAGGATTTCCATCAATACTGAGGCACAACTCTGCTTCATATTTCCATGTTCTTAAGGGGCAGTGTTATGTAAAACCAACTTATTTGAGCTTTACATCAAGTTACAATCTTTTTTTTTTTTTTTATCAAAGGCATACCAGAAATGTTGCTTTGATTCTTTCATGGATGTTTGAGAAATTATTTACTCTCCCATCACAACCTAATGCTGCCTTCAAAGCATGGCTCCTCTTCTGAGCTGCAGTTTCCAAGCTTCAATCTCACAAAGCAGCCCTTCCCTGTGACTGTCCTACTGAGCTCCTTCAAACTAGCCAGCAGCAATTAGTAAGCATGTGGTGGAACCGAGCATCAGCTGAGCTCATTATGAGCATTATATGAGCTACTTCATTGTGAAATGCTGGTAACCATTATTAATATAGGTTAATATAAGACTTCATGAAAGAAGACATTCAGAAAGAGCAGCAGTTTTAAAGAGACAGTGGCCCAATTTCAAGTTGTTAAATTATGAAGTCAAATTTCTTGATATATATATATATATATATATATATATATATATATATATATATATATATATAGTTACTTGGTTGTGCTATAAAATGACACTGAAAAAAACATAATACTGCCCCTTTAACGCTCCTATTTTTACAGCTTGGCAAGTGTGCTACATAAATATTAGCATAGTTAAATGTTTAAATCCCTACTAACAAGCATGGCTGTTGTTGCAGATTGTAGGCTGAAAGTGGTGGACTTTTCAACAGTAATTTGCTTTCAAGTGGCTGGTAGAAAGCACAGCATCAAATGAGGAATACAGATGAGGAGTGCTGATATTTGAAACACTGCTAAGCACAGTACATGTTTTTAAGGACACTTTGAATTTTATTTTATAAAGAAATATTCTAAGTGAACTTTCATACCTTAAAAACATTTGAGCTGTGATCAACTTACATAGAACAATGTAATTACAGTTTTACAAATACATTCTACCCATTCCAGGAAGCATGCACCTCAACATTTACTTAAGTTTTATCTTTGTTGAAGACTGTAAGGTAATGAGAGCAAATGTTACAGTTTAAAAGTTGTTGAAAAGTTAATATAGCCTTTTTCAATTAAGATTGAAATATGTTTAATTCAATGTACACATTTATAATACAGATATTAAAAAATAGGGACTTCTGATCCTTGAGAAAGATACAGTTAAATTTATTAAATGTTTCTTTGTCGATTGCAAGTCTTTGATATGTGATCAATGTCTTGTCATATGCAGCCAGAAAATGAGTTTAACTTGTTGCTGCCATTTTATTGATCTAACAATGGAGGCATTTTATGACAGGCTGAGATTTTGCTCAGCCTGTCATTCTCAGTAGAGTTGAGCAGGCGAAAAAAATATGCTGATTTTCAATTAATGTATATTTCCATCTAATTTCTACACTTTGTTTTCCGATTCATATTTTTTTATAATAATAATAATAATAAATATTCTTAGAAAGGTTTAGTTCATATGTACACGATACAAACCATAAAGAGAAAATTATGGAAAAAAAATGTCATTAAGACTCACACAGATCCAACTAATAGTAAATTCAGGGCTATCATAAAAAATATCAATATATGAAACACAATTGCCTTCCTCTGATTCAAACTACCAGCTGCAGCAATGTCGTCAACTGTCAGCATCAGCTCCAGTCCAGTCTCATCATATGTCTAACATCAAGTTTCCCCTGCATATGTAATAAACAGAGTGTGTATGATACAGAGCTTACAGCAGCTGTGTCACCACACAGGAGAGATGTGTTCTGCTTCGTATAATTTCTCTGGATCCCAGGCCAAGAACGAGCCTTCTTCCCACCAGTGAAGCATGCAACCAGAAAGCTACAGTCATGGAAGGTAAATCTATTTTCATAAAATCATTCATAAACAAGCCAATATGAAGTGCTTTAAAAGACATCAATGAAAAGACAAAAAACACTACATGAAACAAAAAGGTGTTAAAATACAAATAATGAAAGACAAAAACAAATCTCAAAATGATTATTTGATCAAAGTTGCAGTAATATAATATAAAAATAATATTTTTAGCCCTTATAACAAAAAAGGAAGCAACAGTTTCTATGCATCTCAAGTTTTCAAGGAGTTGGTTTCAGAGCTAAGAATCATGGAAACTAAATTCTTCTTTATTTATTTTGGAATTCGCAAACACCAAGTAATCAAGTATTTAAACAACTGAGGGATCTACTTGGTTTATAATGTATTTTAGCCTAGGTCATTGCTTCATAGACCAATATCATAATTGTAACATACATTATTTAATAAACAGAAAGCTACTGCTCAAATTTAAGAATTTATGTTGTATAACATTTGGAGTCTAGCAGCAGCCGTTTTGGATAAGCTGTAGTTGTCCAATTGATTTTTACTGAGACTTGTACAGACACTAGCAGTAATTGAACCTACTGAAAGTAAATGCATGCACCAGTTTTTCTCTGTCCTGTTTTGAAAGGAAATGTTTTATTCTGGCATTGTTAAGAAAATAGTAAGCACATTTAGTAGCAAACTTTATGTGGCTGTCAAAATTTTGAGCAGTTTAAAACTACACCCAGCAGTCTTTATGGTCTTAAGTCCCAGTGAGTCTGGTTAAGTGCTGATCTCGTTTCCTCCCAATTGAGAGCTCACAGTGTGTCTAAACTCACAGCCCATGTGCAGCGTCTCTGGCCAGCTCTGTGTGACTGACTTACAGCTGCTCTGCTTTATGAAGACATGCA